TTTGAATTATTGAGCATGTATTAATTATTTTGCATAACATTTGGATAATTTCATATTTTCGGCATCGAATTGAGACTTTAACGCGACGTTGTGATGACTTTGAGACAAGGTAAATCTCTTGTCTAACCTTGTAAGAGGAAATTTACCCCATAGATGATTTAAATTAATAATTGTTGCTAATTGTGGGGGACTACATACACACAAGGTGACAAGAGTCCGTGCGTAACTACTAATTATGCTATGTCCGGGTAGTTTAGGACTCAAATCATGAATTACTTGTGATAATTGTATCCCCTATTTAATTAAAATACTGGAATTATATTGTAAATTGTTAGAGGAAACAGTAAAAGACCGACATTTTACATACTTGAATTTTATGCAAATTATTTAACTGTTAATAGAAATTGTACATCCTTATGTGTTAGATTTATAATAACTTCTCATTTCGGAGGTTCATAAGATAATGTCCTCCTTTCTTGTGGAGCGGGCCGAATGCCTCGGAAGTATAGATGCATCTATGGATCGTGCCACATGTCCCTCGGTAGTGTACACGACACTCTGGACTGGGCCGAACGACCTCGGAAGAAATCGTGCCTAATAAGAATAATTACACGATACCTTGATATTTTGTTGCAGCTTGTGAAGCTAATCGATAAATTGAAAATTATTGAAATTTAAAGAATTAATTAATTCTGCTTGTTAAGAAAATTATTGTTGTTCATATAAATCATGTCTATTTAAATGTTTCTATTTTTAATATTATTGACCCATAGTGAGTGTCAAAGTCGAGCTCTCGTCACTACTTCTTCGAGTTTAGACTTGATACTTACTGGGCACACGTTGTTTACGTACTCATACTACGCTTGCTGTACTTTTTGTGCAGGGCCTGAGATAGGTGCTATAGGTGGTCCTACCGGCGCGTACCTACGTTATCTCAAGGCTTAGTGGTGAGCTGCCTTTCTGAGTCGTTCTGCAGCAACTAGTGCCTCTTTTTGTATTTGTATTCTGTCTATTTTATTTCAGACAGTATTTAGAATTTTTTTGTATAATCTACTAGATGCTCATATACTTGGAACAACAAAAGAGCCAATTTATCAGGACCTTTTCGTCGTAACTTCTAGCCTGCAGTTTTTGATGTACAATTGACAAATTTTAGCAAGACTTCTTTGATATTCGGTGTTAAATTTCTTATCTAATTCCAATTCATGTTTCTTGGACCTATTAGTATTAACATATATATATATATGGAATCTTCAAAAAGTATCGTTAACACCTCCTTTTATTTTCTTCCAACTAATATGAAGCCATCAAAATATCCTCTCTTATAACCAAACCGATACATAAAACAAACACTTGAAATCTTGACGTTGGAGCAAATATCTACACCAATTAGGATTTTATATTCCAAAGTGCAGTAATTTGGTACCTCTATATATTAAGAATATTTTCGTCCTAATAATTATGAAATTCCTATTTAAACTCCTAATAAACTTTGAAAGCTTACGACAAATGCAATAAAACTTTAAATTCCTAAACTCCTAAATTCTAGGAAAGGATGTAAAATCTTATTAAAATAAGGAAAGATCTTAAAATCAAAATTTTATTTGATTTTAAAGTCCTAAATATTAAAGAAATAATTAAATTACGATTTTGTCTAGCGTGAAATTTNACAACAACAACAACAACAACAATAACCCAGTATAATCCCACTAGTGGGGTCTGGAGAGGGTAGTTTGTACGCAGACCTTACCTCTACCCTGGGGTAGAGAGATTGTTTCCGATAGACCCCCGGCTCCCTCCCTCCAAGAACTCCCTACCTTGCTCTTGGGGTGACTCGAACTCACAACGTAAACAAAATTATATTATTTTATTATACACTGTGTTATCCTTTCGATTCTAACTGTAATAGTTTATAATTAATAATCCTCTAGTACAATATAAAAGGCTTTTAAAGCTACTCAGTAAAATGTGGTGAGGGAAATAATTTTTTATATTAACTAATTATTCATAACAATTTATCAAATTAACTGAAGCAAATTCTAAGCATCATTATCTAAACGCAAGTAGGCAATGACTGAGAAATGTAAATGAGCATTTAATACATTAAGATTGTCATATTTTTCGGCAATTCCTCCTTTTATACAATGTCATTTTTCATTCATCAAAATTTTATGCATATTTGATTTTAATTTGGCTAGGGAATATTGGATTTCCAAATTTTGTACAGACAATTCTAACACTTTAATCTGATACTTTTAGAATATGTTCCTCCACCATACAAATACAATAAAAGTTTAAGAAAATCCGGTACTGCTTTTAATTTTTTCTCACAAGACATTGTCCTAAAATTTTATTTGCGCGCTTCAATGAAAATTTTGTGGAGTTTATGTGGCCTATTTTCAATTGCCTTGTTGCATTTTTTAATTGTAACTATTTTTTAACAACTTTACAAACTATATTCCTATTAGCAACCCCAAATCTTTACATAGTATCATTTCTATTAAAGTTTAACTTAAACATTTTTATACTTGTTGCACGTATATATGCATAGAAAATTTAGCTAGCAGATATTTTTTTTAATTAAAAAAAGCATTACAACAGTTTATTCATATTGTACATTTACACCAAATTTTCTTTTAGTTTTATGGTAAAACTAAGATTTTTTTTTTATTTTACACATAAACTTTCTGTGCAAGGGTGTGCTACACATGTTGCTCAAATGATTGTAAAGTTTCTTATCATTGTACCTTTTTGCGTAATATGGCTACCAGCAATATGTTGTGTTTTTCGTGAGTTTTTGAATCTGCTTTTTTCTTATTTAGTTGCAGGTCATGACAATTGACATCTAACAAATTATCCATCTTGAAGAGTTCTTCTTCTTCTTCTACGTTTAGAAACTTCTTATATTAGAAACCAGTTATCCCATTCATTTAACTAATACTATTATTTTCTTGTTAAATGAATATATAACTGGAATTCTTGTTAAAATAATATATAACTGGTTTGAAGTCCAATGAGTATTTGCATAGTTATCCCAGTAACATATCCAGATTTTGTTACTTTTTAATTTGAATAGTAAGAAAAATATCTGTATAATAAATCGGAGAAGTCAAATCTATAGGTTGTCAAGATTGGCACACAATTTTGGGACTTGTTTAAAAGCTTCCATGTTTTAATTTCCAAGTTTGAACTACGAATTTGACTCAAAAGACTGCAAAAAGCTTTCTTGGATTCCTATTTCCTAAAGTCGTTTCTAATTGGTTTTAAGCCTTAGTAGTACCCCGTTAGCCACAATACAAAATGAATTTGTAAGGAAAGCATGCCCATTTATTAGCACTGAAAAGAGTGGGGTCCACTTAGAAGTTAAAAATTTTACGCGTGTCAGAATCAAGGGCTAAGTTGGTCTATGACACACCTTACTTTCAAAGAGTTAATTCCAGAGACATATTGATCAACACACACAAAAATTTAAACGGCAGCTACAATAACTATATTTGTCAGCCAATCGAATCATTTTATTTTTATATAATTATAAAAATACCCTCTGACCCGAATTGCAGCGGATGCACCTCATTTTTATCCGGAGGCACCTCTCTTTCTCTCTTATTAATAGTAGTAATAAATTGTCCACTGTTCATATTTCAGAGACTTAATAATCAAATATGTATTTAAATTCAAATATTTTAATCTTAAAAAGGGGCCTAATCTAGTTGTTAACGATTTGTGAGTTTTTTGTCAACATTTTTAGGTAAATAAAATATGCGCCCACTAAACTAAATTAAAAGCTGAAAGTTTGCCATGTGGTAGAACATTAATTGTGCAATGCCTATAGAATGCCCCTTTATACTTTCTTCTTCCTTAGGTAAAAACATGTGTTTGGTCTAATCTTTGAAAACGTGTACCCATTACCGTTCGACACTTTCCAAATATTACTGTATCAAAAATATAAAATTTCAAGGACTGAGTACACATTTCTGATTGAGGAAAGAGGACAACAACAAAAAGTATAGGAGTGTCATTTAAAAGGACACTTTCAAGCTGTCGCTGATGGTTAAAACGTGCTTCAATGCAAACATAGCTAGAAGCCCATAGCAAAAGCTAGATATCTTTGCAGCTCTAATTAATAATCTCTCTGAAAATTTACCTAGGCTGGAAAAAAAAAGTGTTTCAAGTACGTTAAGCTTTTATATTTCTTTGTTTTGACTTACATATTGTAGAAAATGTGAAGACTATAATATTATTTAGTAAAAGTATCCGCATAGTATACACACTCATTCTTGGAAAGAACATATATATATATATGATCATCGTATATATCCCACCTGTTAGCGGTTAGAGAATTATACTTTCCATTCTAATGTGAAATCTTAAGTTATGATATGTCACATATATACTAGAATAAAAACTGTTCCCAATTTAGTTCATCTAAATTAATTTAGATTTGTTGTAAATGGAATTGTTCGACTCTTCATTACTACTCCCTCCGTTCCAGTTTATGTGAACCTATTTTCTTTTTGGTCTGATCTAAAAAAAAATGACCCATTTCTAAATTTAGAAACAATTTAGCTTAAACTTTCAATTCTACCCTTAATGAGAAACTTTAATAACCACACAAATACTCTGAATTTTTTTTTTTGACTTGTTTAAGATCACAAATTAAAAAATTCTTCATTCTTTCTTAAACTTCGTACTCGATCAAAAGTATTTATTAGCAATAAAACAAAAAGACTCTTCATTAGTTAATATATTTCTAGTCAAGGGCATTTGGGACACAAAACAATTTCTTGTTAACTTTGGAGACAATTCCTGAATTTGTGCACAGAGACCACAATGGTGGGGTTGCAATTATAAATAATTTACAGTAGACAGTATGGATTAAATAAATAAACTATAGGACCAAAATATAGCTTTAATAAAAATTTGGTACTGATGAGGTCAGTCCTTACCTCTACTTGTTTATGGAGACAAGGCAGACAATCATGGCTTCTTAAGGACCATTAAAAGATCACGCAATCCTAACAAACCTATCTTCCCTTCTTTATTATTACAATTATATATATCTCCGTTACTTCATATATAAATACATATCACCTCTAGCAGAAAAGAGCTGGAAAACTTCTTCAACTGAAGAAAGAAGAAGAAGAAGGATAAATAGTGTTATAATATGTATTCTTTACAAGAAAGTGATGAGTTGATGTTTCAGATTTTCTCTAATCCTTGCCAACAAAGCAAGATCTCCCAAGATCTGGTTATGGATTATGCTTCTCTGGAGACACGTACTCATGATCCTTTAAATTATATTAACAATAATTCCCAGGTCAATAAGAGACTACCCAAAAGAATATTAGGTACTACTGATAATAATATTCCAGATAAGAAAGATGAAACTGCTGCCGCTGCTGCTACTCCTGATGATTTCAAGCTTACAAGAATTATGCATAGAGATATCGAACGTCAAAGAAGACGAGAAATGTCTGCCCTTTACTCTTCCCTCCGTTCTCTTCTTCCTCTGCAATATGTCAAGGTAATATTATTAAACACACAGACACACATATATGGTGTTTTCTTGTTAGTTACTATATCATAACCTTAACTAGTCTTCTTAATATAATGAAAATATCATTTGTTCTAGCTTCTAGATGAATTCCACCTTGGGATATCTTGTATGCTCTAAGGGATTAATTAAATTTAATCTTGGAATTGGTTAAACTATTCTGAGTTATTTGTGTTTATATATATATATATATATATATATAGGGCAAGCGTTCGGTATCGGACCACATGCATGAAGCTGTGAATTATATAAAAGAAATGCAAGCAAACATGAAGGAATTGGAGAAACGGAGAGACTTGCTAATTAAGTCGTCCTTACCCAATTCAATAAGATCAAATAATTTCACAGTTTCTCCAGATTGTGTCACGGTAAGCCCCTGCCTGCAGGGTGGCATAGAGATCTTGATCAGCGTTGACTGTAAAGCGCAAAGTTTTCCCCTTTCAAGAGTGCTGAGGGAGCTTCTGAAACAAGGGATTAATGTCGTCAGTTGTGTCTCTGCAAAAGTGAATCAAAGGTCACTGCACACAATTCAGATCGAGGTACTACTGTATATATATGTATTGAAATAAAGATCTAATCATATTTTGTGAATTAGGTGTAAGGAATTATACTATCAGGTTTAGTTAACCTGTAACATATGTAATAACCGGTTAAATTTAATAATGTAAAAGTTCTTTATCCTATAAATTAGCATAGGATAAACTCAGATAATTGGAGAAAATTTTCTTTCATGCTTTCTTAATATGTTTCTTGTAAATTGGTTTCGTAATCTAATTACCTTCTTTAATAAATTAATCATGCATATATCCTCCTGCAGGTGTGCGATATGAACAACATTGATCACCAGGCATTGCAACAAAAAGTGATTGATTTAATCAATGTGGACTTGTAGTTCTCGAGTTATTACAACTAGTAACAAACCATGCAGCTGCATTCATCTTACAATGCTTTAGCATTTAACACGTACATGGTCAGAATTCAATACTCAGAACCGTTGCCATATAAGACTGTATTGTTTGTAGAGAATGCATTATTGCAGCTTTAATTAATAGTGTGATGCGGTGAATCCCTCCCTCCTCTATATATCTTTTCTTTAAGGGAAAAATATCTTGACGGACAATAAAAAAAATCCATCTTCTTGTAGTTTAGACAAATTCTGATTTCCATGTTATACTATTATAACAAAAAGTCGGAAATCAGTTGATCAATAAAGCATTGAGAAAAAAAGATTTTCTGCTTTTACTTCTGAATTTGACTATCAGTTGAGCTCTTTATACTATTTTTGATGCAATCTATCAGTATGCAGATATATAGAAGATGCTAATGGATACTTAAATGTACTTTGTTCTCATGTCACAATTGACCATTCACCAATTTGCTCATGATCTTCTTTAGACATGAAGTGAGCAATTAATCTTGTTTTGATTTCCAAGTTCCTCTAAAAAATATTAGTATAACTTAACTAATAAGCAGATGCTCATGTATATTGTTGAATGTCAAACTAGTCAAAGAAGAAGCTAAGATATGCAATGTAATCCTCTTAGGACAATTGTTGAAGACCACAAATATCTGTATGATGTGAATACAACCACGATTCAACACATTTGGAAGGAGGCAAATAGATGTACAGATTTTCTAACAAATAATTGGTCATAACCATCCGAAGAAGATTGGTTAATTAATCCAAAAAATTGTGCTCAAGAAAATGAAGTTTATTTTCCAATCAGATTTAGCTTATACTGATATACTTTACATACGAAAGGTTTTAAAANGGGGGGACGACGATGTTCACATCTGTGGAGTGTTTGTTCCGTAGCACGCACACTTCAACAGTTGAACTTATCTGTTTCCACCAATATGAATTCCATGGTTTATGCAGGAGTAGACTTTTTTTTAAAAGTATGTTTTGACAGGAGAAAAGGAACAAGAACTATTAAGTGAAGGCACTCCAATCATTAGCAATCTCCCCCTGTGCTTGTGTGTTTCTAAGCAAGTAATAGTAAATATACTACTATCTCTATTCTATCTTGTAACCAGCTATATGTTTGGTTTGAAGTTTTCTTTATCTTGAGTAATGGTATATTTAAACATTTATCCCTAGCTTAGTTTCATTTTATTTATCTTAGTTTAGAAGCAGAAAAGATTAGAACAACTTTTGTTAGAATAATTTCAGCTAGTACTTGTAATATTTTGGCCCGCTTTGAAAGCAATTATGCTCTAAGTAACATGAACACTTCAGTCTGTAATAGTCTTAATAACTAGTTATTTGAGTAATATATTACTCCTTTTTAACAAAAAAAAGAAGACATATTAGGCATGAAGTACACGTTGAATCATATGTGGTATTAAACATGTTTTGTTATTCCTATAAGGATGTGTCATTAAGGATAAACTAACTAATTATAGAAAAATGCTTTTCTTTTTTAAATAGACTAAGCAAAAAAGGGACGGGGTGCCAAGTAGATATCAAATCTAGTTTTTTAAAGGGACGGGGTGCCAAGTAGAGAATGTAGGGGTCGTTTGGTAGGGGTATAAGAATAGTGTTTAATATGATAAAAGGCAATGCAAAATTTGTGTGGTTAATATGATAAAAGGCAATGCAAAATTCGTGTGGCAAATGCAGGAAACTATCATGGAGATTAGAAGAATTATTTTGCAGGCTAATTGTGTTATTCAACATTGGTATAGAGAGGCAAATCAAGTTGCCGATGCCCTTGCCAAATACAATATTGAAGACATAGTAGCGGTTTTTGTCATGACCCAAAATTCACTAGTCATGATAGCACCTAACCCGATATGTTAGGTCAGCCAATAACAATTAACACAATTCTAATAAAATAAAGGTGATCAACAAATGATATATTTGAATTTTTTTTCATACAATATTCCAAGGACTTGTAGTACAAGATATGAGCTACTAAGACTGGATTATTGCAAAAACGGATATGAAATAAATACAACTTATGTTTGAAAGGTACATAAACAGAATTCAACTCTAGAACTACCCAGGGACAAGTGGTAGCCACATCTGGAAGGCACGAACATCTTCAGAGTCAGCCCCCGACATCCACCGCAGCTCCGCTCCAAAATTTGCACACAAGGTGCAGAAGTGTAGTATGAGTACAACCGACCATACATACTCAGTAAGTATCTTGACTAACTTAGGTGAAATAGTAACGAGGCTTTTTAGTTAAAAGATACTCACTGATATAACATGTGCAGAAGACTAGCAATAGAACAATACTAGAATATAACAGAATAGATTATAAGAAACAAATATGTGAAGCGGTAGATGATTTCTAGAAGAACCACAATTAATATTCCTTAATATCACTACCAATCCTCTTCTTAGAGCGATAACCAACAAATCAAATGGCACTGCAATACCCTTTGTACATTTATTTCATCCTCACCAACTATACGTATAACAGAACCACCAGGTGAAAGAAATGTCAATAACAGTAATGACAAGGTAGGAAATACACAGGTAGCAATGATGAACAAGGCAGTACAGATGGACAACAGTAATAGACTAGGTAGGAGGCATAAGAATGATGATATCAATTAGAAAAGAAGAATATAATTTCACCTAACTAGCATAGTAGAAGGCATAGATGTAGATATAACAAATAAGAAGGGAAAGCGTGATCTTTATAAGCTAAAAAAATAGATGCATGAATGACTAACATGGTAGAAGGCTTATACTAAAGTGTAACAAAATAGAAACGACATGGATGTAGATATAATAGTAGGAAATGAGGCATGATATTTGCAGTTAAACAGATAGAAGCCATGGACATCACAACAACAATCGAGATAGAGGACAAAGACAGAATAACAACGACAATGCACGTAGATAACATGGGTGAAACAGTAATAACTCTAGGTACAAGCATGAATGTACACACAAGGAAAGGATATCACAACATATGACATGTCCCTCGTCCTCGCCTGCACGAAAACACCATTTGCGCCATGAACTCATGATAATATAAAGACATGGTGATATAAATAAAATGGCACAGCATCACCCTTCGTGATTTTACTCTCATCCTCACATGATAATGTAAATGAGATTAGGATAATATAAATGAAATGGCACGGCATCACCCTTCATGCTTTTACTCTCAAATGAAATAGCACGGCATCACCCTTCGTGCTTTACACTTTTCTTCACATGATAAAATATATGATATGGCACGGCATCACCCTTCGTGCTTTACACTTTTCTTCATATGATAAAATATATGATATGGCATGGCATCACCCTTCGTGCTTTACACTCTCCCTCACATAATAATATATATGTAATGGAACGGCATCACCCTTCGTGCTTTACACTCTTCCTCACCAAGCATATGTATATCAAAGACAATAAAGGTAGGATGCATAAATAACATCAAGGAGAGTGGTTAAACGAATATTCCAAATGTACCTCAATCACAACTTTCAAGCCAACAATAGTTCAATAAACCCTCAAGAACCTTATTGTCCAAGTATTTCATCAAATCTAAAAAAAAATAATCTACAACTCAAGCATAGAATCTATTATCTCAAGAATAACGGTCGTAGAAATGTATTAGTGATTAAGCATAATGATTACCGAATTAGACACATCAATATTTCTCAAAATACCGTCAAATTTTAATCAAGTTATAATAATAAACTAAATCTTGGTTCCTAACATCTAATTCCATATTCTTAGTAATCTAGAAGTTAAGTAAGCAAGAAAGTCACGTAATTCTACATGGCACAATTTATAGTATAATTTACCCCCGAACATGATTAACCCTGGCACATACATATACGCTCGTCACCTCATATATGTATCACCCCTGCATGTAGCAAATAATAGTAATTAGTTGAAAAAATTTTTTCAACAAAGTTAGGCAAGACACTTACCTCAAACAAGCCAAATCGATATACTAGAAGTGCCATCCCTCTCGAATCATCCTCTGAACAGCTTGAAGCTAGCAAAAAAATAACTCAAAATCATCAAATAATGCCAAGGGAATCAAACCCAATCGATAAAATTCGAATCTTTACATATTAACTCAAAGTCAACCAAAAAATCAAACTAGGGACCCGCACCTCGAAACCCGAAAAAACTCACAAATTCCAACAACCCATTCAATTACGGGTCCAACCATACTAATTTCACTCAAATCCGACTCTGAATCGATATTTTAAACTTAAAAATCACTTTAGGAAAGTTTAGACAAAAAACCCCAATTTCTCTTTTGAAACCCTCGATCAAATACCAAAATCGAAGGTAGATTCATGATATAAAATCAAAAATGAGTAGAGAACTCTTACCCCAATCTAGAAGGTAAAAATTGCTTCAAGAATCGCCTCAATCCGAGCTCCATATCTCCAAATATGTAAAAATGGCCGAAACCCCCGTAATAGTGTACTTTATATTCACTGGACAGGAATACCTTACGTGATCGCTGGATATTCTTCGCGATCGCGAAGAACAAACTCAGCAGCCTCACAAAATACCTTACGCGATCGCGCAATAGCCCATGTGAACTCTATGGTTACCTTAATCTGAGTTATGCGATCGCAACAAATACAATGTGAACGCAAAGAAGAAACAGCCACTTCCTAGCTCATTCCAAACCACTACGTAAACGCGGGAGTTCTTGAGCGAACGTGATGCACAAACAGCAGCAGCCTACGCGAACGCGTCTGAGGACTCGCGAACGCGAAGAAGAAGAAATAATGTGCTCAAATTTTCCATTACGCGATCTCACCTCCAAGTCCGCAATCGCGAAGAACCTTTAGTGCACCAGACTTCAGCAGAAACCAACAATGCGATATGAAGGAGAAATGGTCTGAAATTGATCCAAAATACGCCTGAGCCCCTCGGAACCACGTTTGAACTATCCAACAAGTCTCGTATCATAACAAAGACCTACTCGAGGCATCAAATCACGCATAACAATATCGAAACGATGAATCACACTTCAAATCAAAATCAATAAACTTTGAACTTCTAACTTTCACATCCGATGCTGAAACCTATCAAATCACTTCCGATTGATCCCAAATTTTGCACATAAGTCACAAATGACACAACAGATCTATTCCAACTCCCAGAACCCCAATCCGAGCCCGGTAATCACAAAGTCCACTCTCGGTCAAACTTCTAAATTTTTAACTTTCGCATTTTCAAGCCTAATTTAACTACGGACTTCCAAATCATAATCCGGTCACGCTCCTAAGTCCAAAATCACCCAACAGAGTTAACAGAACTATCGAAACTCCATTCCGGAGCCATTTACACACGAGTAAACATTCGGTCAACCTTTTCCAACTTAAAGCTTCAAACATAAAATTCATTCTTCCAAATCACTTTCGAAAACCTGAAAATCAAAACCGGCAATTCACACAAATAATAATACATCATACGATACTGCTCAAAATTTCAAATAGCTAAACGGAATGCAAATGCTCAAAACGACCGTCGTTACATTTTTTTTATGATCCTAAAATCTTTCCAGGAATGCGATAGGCCCTTATGTTCTTGATAAAGCTCAAATTGCGTCAATAAGGCATAGACAAAGGAAAAACCTCTTTAAGTGATCTGGTATTTTTTGCTGTATCTATCTTAGATTACAAGACAATGTATAGCAGGATATACTTTTCCTTGTCTCTACTATGTTGTCCATTTGTAATCAGTTGCATTTGCTGGAGGTTTTGGCTCAAAAGTCCCCCTATGTTTTTGTATAATCTTTTGGTTTGCAATAAAGGCCAGCGCCACCTAAAGGCGTGAATTATATATAAAAAAAATGAATCGGATATATTAGTAATGCTGGTATTAGTAATACTGACATTAGTTATGCCAAGATTATTTCTTATTCACTGTTTGATTTGGTGTATTAAAGCATTGCATAATTTTTAAAATATAAGTTGTTTACAAAAATGCCCTCCACATTCTTTAACTTTGTACACTACACAACATTGTTTTACAGGAGAGCAAAAATAAAATAGAAAATTAATCGGAATATTAAAGGTAAAAGAGAAGAAAACTTAATTGCTATGACATATAATACAAAATACCAATTATTAAAATAATGGGTAGATTTTTAACAAATAAAGAAAACTTCAGTTTATATTTTGACCGAATTCAAAATCATACTTAGTATTAAATATGATATTATTTTGATTATAGTAGAATGCCAAAGGGAAAAAAATTAATTAAAATATCACAATATGACGAAAAGTAATTGGAATAGATTTTGAGAGATTTGAGGGGTAGTTATGTCTTTAACTATATTTGTGCAACTATTAAAAATTCTTGCATTGCTAATACCATAGTTTGCTATGTATTAGTTATACATTGGATAATATCAAATAGAATGTGCAACTAATATGTGTACTAGTTATACAAATACTTGTATTAGTTTTACTTGTATAATTAAAAAAATATAGCAAGCAAGTACAAAGCTAATGCTTGCATTATTTTTTTTCTAACCCCTCTGGCCAATCTACCAAAAAAGATAAAGAGCTTTTTAAGTTATTTGTGTGAAAGAAAAAAGTGTTAAAATAATGATTATTTTTCTTTTCACTTTTCAGACTTTTCAACCAAACACGTTTAGAGAGTAGTGTTCGAGTTTTAGAAAAGCTGAAAACTCTCTAATAGCTTTTGGTTGAAAAAAAATTCCGATCATTTTTTTTTCAATTTTTCTTTTCCCAATTTTCTGACAAAGAAGTGAAGTGGTCAAGATATTTCCATATACATTTTTGGATGCCCTTTTATAGAGAAAATAATCTCAATTACAATTTGAATAAAAGAAACTGACATTACAAATATATCATGTACTTTAGTTACTTATCTCCTGTAAAAAAAAAAAGCCATATAACTAAATAATATTGTTAATGGGCTATGGCAATCTTACCCAATGTAGGATGTTAAGGTCCTGCCGTAGGCGTTACATGATTTTAGTTTTACAACTGAACTTTAATGCAGGTTTACGTATTTAAATTGGCGTGCCAAAGGTTTTAGTATGAAAGAATATAAGTATCAAATAAGGGATAAAGCAATGCTTCTTCCGTAGTTTATAACAGATCATTAACAGCATGGTATCTGCTCCCACTTAAAAGAGATCCGGATTTCATATTTTTTATGTTTTTTTCTTCCTTTTTTAAATAATTTATTGTTGTAAAGTAACAGCTAGGGTATTAGGTATTCGACACCCAGTCCAGTGAAGGCTATTAAACCCTACAAACACGTTCAAACCTTTTCTTGTTTCTCCTCTGTCCTCCATCAAAAGGGCATCGTATATAGCAACCCTTTATATTTTAATTTTAATTTAAAAGAATCAACCCAAATAGTCCCCACGCAACCGCTTAACTAAAATAAGCTGGGGGATATAATCTTTATTTAATTATGTATAATTAATACATTATTTATGGATACCGACCAGTTAGAAAAAGTAATTATTAAACTCTACCGGTTATTTTTGTAGAGATTCCTTTAATTTATACATACTAATAGTGTAATATATTTCTATACAATTAATATATTTTAACCAGTTATAATATGCTATTCACTTTATTTTAAATTATTAAGTTAAAATTGGACTATGCTGTTTTGCTTCTCTAGGACAGATTCTATCTTAAGTAGGATTTTGGAAACATATAACATAGATGTCTTTTGCATTGTCGTATTTATTCTTGTTTTAATGTCTGTTTGGAGGAATACAAGTTAAAATTACTCTATGCTTGCCCTTCCAGAAAATTAAAAAGTAGATTATGCCTAATAATAGAAAGACTGATAATGAAAAGAAATCCTAAGCCCGAATTTTCGAGTAAGGCTTACTATTCTAAAAGAGTACTCCCCTCGGTTCACTTTTACTTGACACGTTTTGACTTTTCATGTCCCTTAAGAAATAATAAATGAAACGCATAATTTATCATGATACTCATATTAATTGATGCATATTTTATTGGATTTGAGAAACGGATTTGAAATGAGTAATAAATATTGTGGGTACAACAATTTTTTTTTTTTCTCTTTATATGCGTAAAGTGACAAGTAAAAATAAAAATTTATTTTTAATATACATGAACCGAGGGGTGACATGCACAGAGTGCGAAAAGGATATCTCAATTATAAACTTTCACGCAATTATTTGGTCAAACCAACTTCTAATAGAATTAATACAGACAATATCCCTATCAACATTGTAATCAGATCGCAAACCTAAAGGCTAAAGATATGCTATTTATTACATATAACATCTGCTTGGAGTAGTTGGTCAAGTAACAGTATTAATTAAATCAAAGTGTTTGGTCATTGTGCTATGGAAAAGATATTGATAATTAGTTGAAAAGATACTCCAGGTATGATGTTTGGTCCACCTGTGTGAATGAACTTAATTAGCCCGATTTGGTTTAAAGGCAGTACACAAGTACAGTGACCAAAGCACTGCACAAAAAAAAAAGAAGAAGGTTAAATTACTAGTAAGATTCGTATCTTTTCTCTTTGATTTGATAGCTCCTTTCCCCTCAAGATTTCCCAAGTCACAACATAGCAAACAACCTCTTTTATCTTCTTCAAATTTTACCAATTCCGTCATTTAATTAGTGCGTGTATTTGTTAAGCTTGAAACGTATAATTTGTTAGAAAAATAATATCCCGTCCAAAAATAATATCCACGGTATATAACAATAACATAAGAGAATAACAACGATATCAAATCTTTTTACGGGATAAAATACAATACCCAAACAGAGCAATATAATATCACTGTAATATTACAACTTGGTAGAGTCAAGAAACTATTACAACTTAAAAAAAAATAGCACTCTTTATTTTAAACACCAAATAATAATATTACTCTCGCTCTTTATTTATCTCACATACTAAAATATGTATATTACTCTCTCTAAGCTCTATTACGATCACTCTTATTTTTGGTGTGTTTGATCTAAGAAGCAAATCATACTTCTATTCCTAGGAAGAGAACCCTCTTTAATCAATGAGATGCGCTATTTTTGCAAGCTTGCAAGTTGCCAACTTGTTGTTGCCAGCTTTCTCTTTTTATTTTATTTTATTTATTCAAATGGGTTCTACATAATTAATTAGTGGAAGCACTGATTATGGATAATTTCCACTCAAATGTTCCTTTTCAACAAGATGATGATAATGATCATCACCAGCTTCTTTATCCACCAACAAACACCAATTCTTCTTCTTTTCTATATTATCAAGAAAACAGTACCCAGCTGCAAGATCGGGTTACAGATCTTACTCCATTCCATTCATTGGAGGTGGACTCAAACAATGTTGACTTGAACAACACCAACAAAATTAACAAGAGACGCAAAAAGTCGCAGAATTCATCATCAGCTGTTTCTCTTCAAGTTGATGAAAACACTGCTGATTGCAAGCAGAAGAAAATAATACATAGGGAGATCGAACGGCAAAGAAGACAAGAAATGTCTAATCTTTATGCTTCTCTTCGGCAACTACTTCCTCTTGAGTATCTCAAGGTCCAAATATTACTCTTTTCTTTTTGTTATTATCGTCTTCTATTTGCATTTCTAAAACTCAGATCTCCCGCTGCCATTCTATTTAATTAGAAGCTGACTAACTTTCCCTAAGGTAGGAGAGCGTAAATTTGCCTACATGTTACCTATAGGTCAATAGTGTAGGTTGTTTACGTCACATCTCTTGTGGTGGGGCCCTTCCTCAAATTATGTGTAAACACGGGATGCCTTGTTCACCGGATTGACTTTTTTTTTTTCAACTTTTTCTAAGCAGATAGGTAATATTTTGGAATTTTTTTCCAGGGAAAACGTTCCACATCGGACCACATTCTTGAGGCTGTGAATTATATAGAACACCTGCAGAAAAAAGTTAGGAAAATGGAAGATAATAGAGATAAATTAAAGAAGGCATTAAGTTCAAGCGATGTTGAACACCCCAAAAGTGGATGCTCGTCATCGGCAGCAATTATTATAAAAGTAAGGCTATGCTTGGATGGCATGGAAATATTGACAGATTGTAGTGTTACGAACGAAGGGTTTTATATATCAAGGGTTCTTGAAGTACTACTTCGTGAAGGTCTTAGTATTGTGAGCTGCAGCTGCAACAAAGTTAATGGAAGGTTACTTCACACTATCCGAACTGAGGTATATATATAACCCTAACTAGCTAGCAAATTGATAAAATCAACTCATAGAAGGAGGGGGACCATAACCCTTGGTCGTGGGAAGTTTGGTATTGATCCTACCTTGTTATTATCCCAATTAAAATTACAAAGGAGGGGGACACAGAAACCTAACCTCCCTAGAATATACAAGTAGGATTCTATTGAACAAAGATCTTTTCATTTGATTTTGTGTTGTGAATATTCTTGCAGGTTTGTTCTCCCTCAAGTATTGATGCTTATGAGCTCCAACAAAAATTGGCAGCTACGGTTAATTCAAACTGATATAATTAAGCTTCAAGTAACTCTCCGTTGGATCTTGTTAATTTAGCGCAGCACTAGGATATGGATTCTTCATATATCGACTGCAGGTTTCCTGAGAGTTTTCTTGAAATGTGACATATTCCACATATTTCTTTTATAACCTTAGCAATTTCTGTTCAATGTTTGCCTAATGAGTATAAAAGGAAAGTAGCAAATTGGCTGCTAACTTTTTTTTCATGGTTGTTTTAGCTGCAACTTCGTTTGTGTTGTGGTTGTGATGCTGGCAATAGTAGGCAGGTATGCATTTCAGCTATATGTTCTTGTTAACACAAACAGGCAGTAAAAGACACATCAATTAAACACTGTACAGAGACCAAGACAGAAGAAAACATTAGCATCAGCAGTTCCTCTACTGTGTACCTCTGCTCCCAATTCGATAGCGTTGCAATGTCTCACAAAATATTCTGTCAATAATACATCTAGCTTAACAGCTTGTTTGGATGATTGTTACCTATTGTATTGTATCGTATTGTTACTTTACATATATAATGTTTGTTTTGATTAATTGTTATTTAAATTTTATTGTATCGTTAAATCTATCATTACGTAACGACGAAAAATATCACTTTATGGAACGACCGATTTGGTATGGTCGCCTTGTTTCCTTATGTTTTTCTCTCATTTTGCCCTTCCTTATTATTAAATAATCATATTTTATCTTTTACTCTATCTTTTTATATAATAATTCTACCTAGTAGCTTACTTTTTCTTAATAATATTGCAAGTTTATTTTTTAAATTGTTGGTACATGCATGACATCATGAAACGACGGCAAACAATACAATCTATCCAAATATTGTATACATCAAATCAATACAGTAGAATACAATGTACGATACATTATGAAATGATACATAACAACCATCCAATTAAGCTGTAACTGAACTTTTGAACTCTTGGAACTTACAGTCAAGCCAGCAAAACCTTGTTTCTCATTATCTGCCCCTTATATATAATAATGCTGGAAATTATTTGTGAAGTCCTTAATTATATCACCAGAACGTTAATGGTTATCGACTGCTATTAATTTGTTGGAAGAGAGACATGAAGGAAGATGATTAAATCAACGTTATCATAGTTAATTTGCAATATGCCTGTAATTTTTTTCCCGATTTCATTTTACTCAGCTTTCTGTTCAAATTTTATATATGTAAGAATCAAATAAATGAAGTTCAGTTTGAGTGAAATGAATTTGGTCCATCTTACAGTTAACAATTAATATTTCAAAGAGATAATATTTTAATTTGGTCCATTTTCACCCTACTCAGTTACTTTAGTACTGCTATACTACAGAGTAAAAATCTTGTGAATACAGTTGATGATGTGTATGAACTATGAAAATACTACTTGATAATTCCATTTTGCATTCATGTACTTGAAATCTATATATTTACATTAAGATTATCTTAAGCATGCATTTAGAATTAAATCATCGGAGTTGTACTCTCATGGTTAATTAGAGCTTTGCAACAGTTCCCTTATTGGCGAATTGAAAATTAGCTTGCTATTGAATCAAATTGCGGTCATAAGCAGTGTATACTCATGCTTCACGTTGAACTCATGGGCATTTGGATATTTAAATAAATTGAGCCGTTAGAAAAACAGTATTGTGATCAATACAAATGAATAACACATGTTCTCTTAAGGTTGGGGAGAATAAGATAAAGAATAGCTTCTGTTTTTTTCTTTCTTTCCCTTTTCTTAACTTTTTTAGAAATACAATCGATTTTGATTCAAATCATTGGACGGCACCAATAAAGTGACACTTCTTTTTGTTTTCTTTTTCATCGTTTGACACTTTGCATTTATATATATTATCATGTAAACAGCGTCAAAGTCATCCCTGACGTCGGAAAAATGGTAAAAGTTTTCTTGGTCAGTTTAAAAAGGAATGACAATAGTTATGAAATGCAACTTCGGAGAGGAAATATAAAAATGGTCCCTATATTCGGGGTAGGTCTAAAATAATCTGTCAAATATATTTTTGAGTAGATTTGATTATTCAAGTTTTTCAAAAATTACTACTCTTGGTATTCGTCAAATATCTAATTAATGAATTCTGGCGGTAGATTTAACGAGAATTTTGAAAAAATATTAATGAGTTCTCATATTTGGAGGTGCAGTTTTGTAGTTTATGCTATTGTTTTTAAATCTATTTTTGGTGTTTGTCGCATCTTTTAAAGCTTAATTTCTATTATTTTTTGTATATTTTTTGTTCCTCGTTTAGTTTTCACTGTTGTAGTTCCTGAAATTAATGACTTCTTTGTTTTTTCTGTTTAGATTTTTTTTATATACTTCCTGTTAAATCTAGTAGTTAGAGTTTATTAAAAATTTAACAAAGTACTTACTTTTGATAATTTTAAAGGACCAAAATTGCTCAAGAATATATTTAATGGACTATTTTAGACCTATGCCAAACATAAGGGATCATTTTGTGTGTACACCAACTTCGGAAAAGTATATTATCCGTTGTATTATATCACATGAAACCACCACATGAATGTGGTTGGTGAAAGTGCAAGAGGGGGATGAATTGTAATTTTTTTTTTTTTTATGAGGTAGTCGACTAATTTGAGTTCTAGTCGACCGGACTTTTTAGGAATAGAATGTAAAAGATAAATTGTAGAAAGTAAATGACATAATACGTTTTTATACTGGTTCGGATTCAAAGTGAATCCTACTTCTAGTCCCCTTGGGTTGCAAGGGTGAACTCTTTCAAGTATGAATTGGCTTAGTACAAATGAGTTGATGTTGTTATACACCAACAACTTATGTCACTCGTTCTTCCCTCTATAATTGATACAATATCTCACCGGTATTCTTTTCTCTCTCTCTTCTCTTCTTTGTTACACAAGGAATCTAAAGCAGACTACATCGTTTTGTTTGAAGTAGAACAAAGAGATTAAAGTTGGTTTGATCAAAGTATAACATTCCAAAGCTAGTGCAGTAGGTATTTATACTTCTCGAGGCCTTCAAGTCTTGTACATCTTTTTGAGAGATTGCGAACCCAAGGGAGTTGTATTCAGACGGATTTGTAGATTGATTCTTTCCGAAATTGATTCTTCTACTCACTTCTCTTGACTTGCGGGCTTGAGTGATTTCTTTCTTAAATGAGAGAATATTTCTATTGTCAAATCCGTTGATTGATGCCTTCGATTGACGTCATTATGTGGGAGAATCTTTAGCGAATGATTTTATGCCCATAATCTCCTTTGATTTAGATCCTTCCTATAATATCTCTTTTAATTGATTTTGCCATTTTTCTTGATTCATTTGTCCGCTTCTCTTTCCTTTTTCATTTTATTCATTTCCTCAATTTTATTGCTCAGAATCTTTTCCTGCACATAGGGAGTAATTGATTATTTTGCATCATTAAAATTTACTGAGATCTAACAATCTCGACCTTTTTGATGATGACAAAATAACAAAATACTTCCCTATTCATCAACCGACTTGAGTGTGTTGTAGTCAACTCTCCTTTAATCCGCATTTTTCGGTAGATTTGTCTAGTCGACTCCCCCTCAGTTGGACATTCTGTTGTGCCTCATTCCCCTCATTTGTAGTCGACTCCCCCTCAGTTATTTGCCGTATGATGTACCTGCAAGTTTAAAATAGAGCACAAAACATAGAACACAGAAGAATGGAATACATAGAAACGCAGGCCTTAAGCTTGCTTACTATTTCTCCCCCTTTGTTATCAACAAAAATAAAATAAAAGAAGGGAAATAAAAAGTATTTGTCCTAAGAGTACACCACATTGCTGAATCATCAGTCACAAATATAAGGCAAAAAGAACATTGTCTTAAACAACCAAGCATCAGTGACGCAGAAAGTGGGTAAGGATGTTGCAAACTGCCTCCTTGAGGTGATCAAAGCTAGCATTCACTGTGACAGAGATCCCCATCAATTCTGTTGTGCATCTCTTTGAAGGCCCTTACTGCTTTTTCTACAGTCTTGAGAATCTGTACTCGAATCTTGGATACGTCGGACCCTGTCTCCTTTGCCATTCCATGAATATCTTCAATCTTGCTTTGCATAGAGGTTAAGCAGTTCTTGATGACAGACAATGTTTTATTGATGGAGACAAGCTTTTCTAAGAGGTCATAATCACTTGTACTAGGGTGAGACATCAAAGCTTTTGCCTTGGAATCGGAGGGGACATTCTTGGTTTCACCTTCTTGTTTCTTGACCCAGGCACCCTTTACAGAAATATAACTCATGCTAGCAAATCCCCTAGAAATGTAAGACTTGGTGACGATGATGTAAGGATGGTCAACAAGGGATATGTTGTTGGCTTCTAGCAGATGAGTGATAACCATACCATAAGGAAGACTTGTGAGATCATTGACACTTTCTGTCACAACCCAAAACTCACTATAGGCTATGATGGTGCTCAACGTCATCGTTAGGCAAGCCAACAGTGAACTACCAACTTGATTACACATTTTATTATTTTCGAAATCATGCATTTTATTAGATGAATAATAGAATAGATAATAAAAGTGTGTAAATGTTAAGTAAAATCACCACAACATCTAGAATATCCTAAAACCCAGTGTCACAAGAGCATGAGCATTTACTAAGGAGTACAATAACAATGCAATACCTGTCTAGAATGTAAATAAGACAGAATAGAGTAAATAGAACGATGAAGACTCTGTGGGCTGCGATACGTAGCCTGGAATGCAGCTCACCATAAAGTCTCCTCAACAGCTGCACCTACGCGCCCAAATAACTGCCAATTGAACATGTCAGATCCTGTACAATTAGTGTAGAAGTGCAACATGCGTACGTAAATCAATGCGTATCCAGTAAGTATCTAGCCAAACCCCGGAGAAGTAGTGATGAGGGGTCGACATCGACACTTACTAGAGGTACAATAAAGCAATATATAAATTATAAGCAGATATGAAGCACACAATAATAATGGGATAAATCTGTAAGTTACATAATCTTTTAAATATTTCTTTTAAAGTATGAATTTCTCAATCTTATATTCTACCTTAACAACTCAGAAAATGTCAAGTGCCAATATCAAATGAATAAGGAATACCATATAAAATGCCGGGCATCAGTGAAAAGATAATCTCGTGAATATTCGAGCTACCAGCAATATAATGCATGATTATGCCGAGGTCGTTCGGCTCGATCCAAAATAATGTGTACACTGCTGAGGGTCGAGCAGAACGAATCATAGATGCATCTATTATACTACCGAGGCGTTCGGTCCGCTCCACAAGAAAGGAAGGAAGTTATTGAATTACGAGACATGTGCTTACAATACAGTACATGAGCACAAAGAGAATATAATCTTTACCGTTTCTCAAATAACTAGCCAACAACTCCAGGTTATAAGGCTTGGCCTAGTATACATATATTTATTTCTAAATAAATTTCAATTATAAGTTCAAATAATTAAGCCATCATAATGAGTTCAAATG